TTGTGATAATATTATGTTAAGCCCTGCAAACCTATGAATTTTCATCAAACGACGACTTATCGATTGACAAAAATTAACATACTTTAGTGGTTCGATTTAAAGAAGGATGTTTAAATGTAAACAGTCTACTTTGCATCGGTCGGAGCATATTTAATATTTTTCTTTTTCCAATCATTCAGGTTAAAATTTATAAATTTATAAATGTAAAAATATTTATTTTCTAGCCAAACATTTGCTAAAATGAAAAGTGCTGACCGATGCAGTAAATTGTTCTAGTCAACATCTTACATTTTCATCGAACCAATCTAGAAGTATCTTAGACTTATCAAATCTACACTATTAGTTCTTAAATTGGTTTTGATACCTGAGCAAAGACTAATAACATATAGCATGTGATGCGCGTGCTGTGTTCCGGAATCGTCGTAATATAGATTATATAATGATATGGAGCGGCGGCGGACCCTCAATATTTTGCATTATCCTAATATTTCTACGTTTGATATAAATCTATTATTGAGCAAACACATAACCTAAAAGTAGATATTGATGATTACAATGTTTAGATTACAAATTAATATTATTATGGAGCATTTCATCTTTATCATGAACAAGACTATAAGAGTTGTTTTAATTATTCCATCGTGGTATGACATCGGTGTTTGGAGTGTACTTAATTATTGTCGACTGTCGTAACTTAACTTCGCTTTCTGTTTTTGTGAATTTCACTATTCAATAAAATACCGAATAGGAAAATTATCTTGGTACAACGTACAGGTCCTTTTCGAGAGAAAAAGGGGAATATATACAACGCTTGAAAAAGACATGCCAAAAGGTAAGTTGATTTGATTCTGTGTAGGTATTTAGAATCTTGTACTTTTATGACTTATTATAATTTTATTTATAGGTTATTATTACTTTACTGATCTTTCCACGCCACATAACGCTTCAGTTAGTCTGCTGACGCAGTTGTCATGATACGGTGTAGTGAATCACTATTCTTAGATACAATAAGCTTGTATTCTTCACTTTAGAGTTTTAGACACTTTAATTAAATCTTTCAAAATGATACATAAATGATTTACATGTTATGTTTATGTTCATATGATAATATGTACTTACGAAAACGATTCTGAGGGGAGATGGTTGCAGTTTAGACCTACGAATATGTACCATGCAGTCACTATAATATGTTGTTGTTATCATTTAAAAAGTAGTACCACTCTGTTGTACGTTAGGAATGCGATTACTATGTAATATAGAATGAAATAAAAATCAGTTGCCTATTTATTCTTATAATTTTTAATCACTATAAGAATAACTTACGAGACACTATATTACATTTTCACGGCATTTGACTCAGATAAAAATTATTTGACTAGTTAGTGACTACGGCATTTAGCACAGCAAGAGAGGGTTAAGGTTGCTTAACATATCATCTCCATTGCAAATGATATCTTTGAATAAACGCAATACAATATTTGATAAAATAATTATGATAAACAGCAATACGTAACTGAACGAAGTACACTTTTTAACGTTATTATCGTTATCACTTGATACTTATCAAGGCAACGTGCGTTAAACAATATATTAAAATGTTCTATTATGTAAGGCGAGTTGTAATCATTGACCATATTATGTCTATATAGACTATAGAGTTCGGACATTAAAAATTAAAATTAATAACATTATAAGGACATTTTTATTATATTCTGTTTTAATCCCTATTGAATATTACGTATTTTAATGTTTGCGATTAGTATATACTTATTACTTATGTATTAAAATATTATATTTTGTTTCAATTTAAATTCTACACTTGTTGATTATGTTGTATTATTTATAGTTTAATTGATTAATTTCCAATTCTAATTATGCTTGGATGTACGAATTGTTGATATTTTGATAATTTGGTTATATCGTTATATCATATTTATTTACATTGTTTTTTATTTTAATGTTTTTACTTATATAGTTTTATAATATTATTTATGTACAAATCCTATTTAAATAATGTTTTACTTTTAACATGAACTGAAAAAAATGGATTGTAGACCTTGGCCAAGAGAATCAAAAAAGAAGTAAGTTTTACCTATTTACTAAGACTGTAAGAGTATTTTTTTAAATTAATAGTAAAAAGATTTATTAATATTTTTATAATTGAATTTTTATAATAATAATATAATATATATGCTAGGTATATTTATACCTAGCATATATATTATATTCTAATTTTTTTTTTTATTGAAAAGATAATCTACAATCTATACAATAGTATGCTTAATAAGCAGATGAAATAAAATAATATAATAACAATAAATATTCTGAATATGGAAAGTTACCAAGTGGTAACACCCATCACATGAACTTATTCAATTAGTAGTTACTTAATAGTTTTTTTTTTTTTTTTTTGTTAGAATGCTAGGACAAAAGGTCCCTGCACCATTTTTATTTTAGTTGTCGATATGGGTTATTGAAAAGGGTTTTTAATGATAGTTTGTTATATATAATATTAAGCATCAAAATTGGAAAAAAATATCTGTCCTAAAAATTTAATATTAAGCATCATATTTGAAAATTATATTTTATAAGGGTTTAAGTACAAAACAAGGTGCTCTTATGAAAATTATACTAAAGAAAAATAACAAACATGACATAAAATATATATTAATTATATTTTTTTATAATACCTACATTATAACTTGGTTTTTAAATTAAGAAAAACTATTTTTATGTTTTAATTTTTGGTCAGATTTAGAGTGATAGGAAAGTTTAATTTTAATTTATAATTTTTTTATATTTAATGTTATCAATTAATATATCAATCTTAAAACTCTGTTACTAGGTATATAAAGTAATTTATTAAATAATAAAGTACAAAAAATACAAATAAGTCTTTTGAGTTATGTTTTTATTCTATATAGTATGTTGTATGTTTGTTCTTTTCAGGTGGCAAGATTCAACCATTGATCGATTCAAAACTAGTAAAACAATATGGCCTATTCCTCAAATAGAACAAGTTTTTTTGCCAGATTTTAAAATTAGATCTCAGATAAATGAATATTCATTTAAGGTACTAATTTCACTAATATGTTGGATATTTCATTTTAATTCTAACTTATATTGCAAATTTAGATATTATTTTTATTAAAGTTAATATTTACTGAGAGTGTCTTACATTTTTATGTATAGTTTTACTGTCAAAATATTTGAAATTATATTACATTTAATATTTATATCCCTTAGGAATAGATTGTATATTTTATGTACAATAATATACATTGCTTATGTATAAATTCTTATGTTGCTATATTATTTTTGTATTGAACTTGTTTTCACAGATCATATTTTTAAGTATACTGTAGAAAAGTGTTTCCCAACATATGGGTCACGATTCGTGGTGCTCATAATCTAAGAAGGCAACTATCTTGATTTTATATGTATAAAACAAATTTAAATAAATATCTGAAATTAATTTTAGCCCTAAATTGATAAATGCTCCAAGTTATATTATATTTGATACCTCCACGTATACTAATAATGTGAAGTTTAATTAGTATTGTAGAATGTAGGACATAGATTTTACAATGGATATAAATGTATTTTTGTAACTTTTTAATTATTTTATTATCATTATAGAAAGTTTTTAAGTCTAAAATCAGCAATTATACAATTATTTTACTATCATATTGTAATATTTTTTTGTATTATTTTATTTCAAGTATCTATAGTTAATATATTTCACCTAAACAATTTAATTGAAAAATAATCTTAATATTAAACAGAATTATATATTTATTATTCAGTATTGTATTATGTTAAAATTCAATGATAAAATAGCCTATGATAAAAATGATTATTAATAATACTATATTATCACATTTTTTTTTTTTTATTAGGGATTGTACCCAATAAACAGTAAATTTGTGGGTTGCTATTACAAAAAGGTTGAGAAACATTGCTATTAAAATCACAAAAATGTAGCTATCCTAAATATAATAAAAGATATTATACTATAGTTAAAATTTTAGTGAAATAAAAAGCACAGATAAGGTGTATAAGAATAACTAATTCAGTAACTTTTAAATAACTTCAATTAATATTGAAAATCCAAATTTCAACTTAATAACATAATTTAAATTATTCTTTAATACTATTATATTAACTACAGTTAAAATATATGTATTTAATATTCATAGTTAAATGTAGCTAACATTAAGTATATTTTCAGAGCTTAGAATTAATTTGTAATGGTGCATTTGGCAAAGTTTACAAAGTTAAAAAATTAAATTCCAGTGGCGACTTATATGCTATGAAAATATTGGAAAAATCATTGGTAACTAAACTTCAATTTAATATTAATTTATGATTACTCATTTTGTATAATATTCTTAATAAAATACCTCAAAAGTGCATAGGAATTAATGTTAGTTATTAGATTTCAATTCTTAGCTTAATCTCAATCAAATTTTTATTGTAAAAATTGATCAAATCTAAAATAATCTCTTCTTTTGAAAAAAAAAAAAACAATGATTCTTAAACTTTTATGGCATAGTTATATTATAAGTATACAACATTCTAATTGAAATAAGAATGCAGTTGAAACTTAAAAATAACTTAAAATTTAAAAATAATTTTGTTTTATTCCTTTACTTAAATTATAGATTTATTTTTTTCAAAAATTTTCATTTTAGTACAATTGTGATTAGGAAAATGATTTTAAATTGGTTTTTAAATCATTTAGTGTAAAAAGATATTATTTAATACTAATATATTTTGCCATTTTTAATGAAATTAAAAAGTAATTTAGTTTATGATATAATTTAAATATATTTACAAATAATAGATTGTATACGAAAATGGAGTACAACAAGTTAAAAATGAAGTACAAATTCAATCATTATGTGGTCATCATCCATTTATTGTGAATTGCCCATATTTTTGGCAAAATAGAAATCAATTGTTCATCGGTGAGTCAAATATTAATTATATACTGAAATTGTTACTCATTGTAATTTATTATTTAATTTTTTTAAATTTTAAATTTGATGAATATTTGTATAATTATTTGTATGATATGTTATTTTATTTATTACTACTAAATATTGATATTGATTTTATTGTTTTTAGTTAGTGAGTATGTTGGAGGAGGTGAATTATTGAAATTATTACAAAAATGTGGACCACTACCTGAAGAATTATGTCGTGTATATTTTGCTGAATTAGTTGTTATAATAGGTATATATAATTTAATAAATATTTTATTTTACTTCCAAATTGTGAACAATTTATAAATTAACAGCATTAAAAAATATGCTTTAATTTGTGTAGAATATTCAGTTATTTGAATGTATGACTATGTTCTGGGAAGTCTTGCATTACATATAAATATCTAAATTAACATTATAGATTATGGTCTTCCCATTGGAATAACTTGCCTGCTGAGTTCGCTTCTAGATACAGACTAACAACGCCTAATATTAAAAAAAAAACCTGGTTTAATTACTTAAATTTACAAAGGTCTCATATAATCCATTATAATCGTTTACGAATAGGACATTCATTATTACCTAGTCACTCATTTAAACTTGGACTAAACGACTCGCCACTTTGCACACCTTGCACATTTCCTCCTAATGAGTATATATGTGACCTTCCTCTTATTTTATTTAACTGCCCTGCTCTCCGACTTAAAAGACTAATTCTTTTCAACACTCTTATGTCTCTTAATATTCCCATCAACCTTTATTTCATCCTAAACTCCAATTCTGGAACAGCTATCAAAACAATAATTACCTTTATACAGGAGGCTGGCTTTATTATATAGTATATATAAGTACTTAATTGTCTGTTAATCTTAATTTTTATACTGTTTTATTCTTATTATGTAATTGTCAAGCTATCATAGTTTATACTAGCGGCTTTTATAATAAAAAAATAAAAAAAAAAATATTATAGATGTCCGAACTTAATGGTGTAGTAAATTAAAATTGTTAGATTTTTACATTTTCTTTAATGACCATCATAATTTAACTTGATTATCAATTACTATCTAAATCATATAGTTCATTTAAAAATGTCAGACCTCATACTATCATAAGTTATTACATTTGTTTGTTAATTATTTTTAGTATTAATGGTATTTTAAATTTGTTAAGCTTATGAATATTGTGTGTTCAACTCTGTACAAACTATAAACTATTCATATTCTTTATGACTTTCACAAAAATGATGGTAAAAAACTTCATAGCTAGAGTCTTATATAATTAAGCAAGTATGCTTGAACTTTATTTACAATTATTGTTACAAAAGGTATAATAGTTTTTTCTAAATTACTAATGTAGATGATTATCAGTGTCGTTTATTGTTAATATATATTAGGGTTCTATATTTATTTATCAATGCTATATTGTTAAGTTTATTGGTTTTGGTAATTCTTTATGCAAGTCAAATATACTATTTTTCCTTTTAAAGTGTATTAAAAATATAATTAATAAGTTTTTCATTATATGATAATTTGTAACATCACGCGTATCTTTTTAATACAGTCGATTCCGTTTAATAGAGACACCGGTTAATAAGGACAACCGCTTAATCGGGACAATTCTAAAATTACAAAAATAAATGTATACTTGTAATGTAAAAGTACGCCACTTATCTGGACCGCGAATCCGGATAATTGGGACATTTTTAATTGGCACAAAGCCCGATAAGTGCTTTGGATACTTGTTCGGACTACATTCGTAAACAAACATTAAAATGTAAAAAACAAAGTAATATTCATAATTTTTTTAAATAAGATAAAATAATAAAAAATATATTTATGTGTGTACTTTTATAAATATTTAGGTTATACATAAAACTATGTTTTTCTTTTTGTATAATTAAAAAATTTCTATAATTGTGTTATTGTAATAACTAATATGTATTTGTAATAATAAAAACATAAAAAATCAGTTTTTCAATAAATTCATATGTTTTTTTTTTCATTTCGGATTATTGGGACAACCGCTTTATTGGGACAAAATAACACGCAACCAATGTGTCCCAATAAAGCGGAATCGACTGTATTATTATTTTTAACTTAAGATTAAGGCATATTATGATGTTTCACAATTATTTGTACATCAAAAAATTATGCATATGTTTTTTATTTTTAAAAGAATATTAGTTGATTTTTTTTAAATTTAATAGCATTTTATTTTGACTTATTTTAAACATATAAATTTGGATCCTCAAATAAAAAATACCTTCTTTGCCTTACTACTAGATATGTTGACCCTTCTGATAATTTTTTATTACTTATAAAGTAATGAAGTGTAAACTTGTATGTTTCTTTGTTCACTAGGTATATTGTATTATGTCTTTAATTAATTGTAAATATAATATATTTAAAAATATAGGTACATTATTATGTATAACTGTGCTATATAATTTTTCTTCTTGACAATAATTTATTAAACAAAATATTTTATGTATACAAAAATTAAATATTGTGTGAGATTTTAAGAATAACTAAGAATTTCATGGATTATTTAAATATTTTTCAATACTTTACTTACACTTATATATGATAATATATGCATCAGATCAATAAAAATATGTTATATTGATTTTTATATTGTATTATACAATTTATTATTAAGTTAAATATAATTAGAATTTAAGAGTAAAGTACTACCAACTTTTATTCTTAAAAAGTAAATCTAAATTTATTAAATACTAATACTTAATACTTATTAACTGCTTTGTTTTAATAAATTTAAAAGTTAATATTATTTTAAATACTTTAATATTATAATATTAATGATAATTTACATTTTTATAATTCTTTTCATACCCACCGTTTATTACAAAATTGAAACTTGTTAATGATTTTAAAATTTCATTATTAAAATGGAAAAGATAATTGTTTTCTTAATATTATGGAGTTGAATAAAAAATGATTCACTAAACTTTCTCACCCACCAGTTTTTCTTTTAGTAATATTCAAATAAATAAAATAAATTTATTCAAATTCTGATTTTTGAAATTTTATAATATATTTTAATACTTTATATTTTTTATACCGTTTAGAGAGTATCCTTTAATAAGTGCTATAACTTCTTTCTTTTTAAAACAAAAGTCATCTTACAAATTGTTAAACTGATGTTGTTTCTGAAAATTCTAATGTATCTAAATAAAATTTGATAGAGTAGTTGTTGAGTTATTGATAACTAAATACTTATAATTCTTAAATATTGGTTTTACAAAAATACAAATCATTTGTAATATTTTTTCAAGTATTTATTATTAATTATTTTAAAAATCGTACAAATTACAAAATATTGATAGATTAATATTAATTATCTACTATTGTTTTAAAATCATCATAATTCCTATTTCTTCATTAGTCTAATTATTTAGTACAGAAAGTAAAATAACTTATTTAATTTTGATTTAGATGATTAAATATTTTCAAGAAAGTAATTTGTTTTTCATTTTAAAGGTGAAATAAAAGTGATTTAGATTTTTAAAAAGAAGTATTGCAATAAAATATTTTTCTCATAAAGTTTAACAAATTTATTTATTTGAGAATTAAAGTTTAAGAATAGTTGAATTCAAAAAATTAGAATTCAAATTAAGTCATTATTAAATAAAAAGATGTAGATAAGCATGTTTGGTGTGATAAATTAGTTTAATTTTTTATTTTTGAAGGAACATGTTGGCAGTAATTGTAATAACTATTTACATTCAATAGTGGTAGATTTAAAAAATATAATATTTGTTTAGTACCTATAGCTTTTTTATAATTTGTTAAGTACAATTTTATAAGTGGTTTATTCATAAATAATTAAAATAATTTTAAACCTCATAATAATTTTAGTATAGAATGCACTTTGTACCTAATATAATGTTATTTATCAACTTTAAAGTTTTTTTTAGCTTGAATAAATAAAGAAGATAATCACTGATTAAATTAAAAAAAAAATTCAATTTTCTTCTTAAATATATTTTAATATTAATACTGAACATATTTTATTACAGATTTTCTACACAATGCTGGAGTTATTTATAGAGATATAAAACCAGAAAATATATTATTAGATGATAATGGTCATCTTCAATTAATTGACTTTGGTCTATCTAAATGGCTTCCACAAGGCTGTCGTACATCTACTATCTGTGGAACTACTCAATATATGGGTTAGTTATTTTAAGTATGTTTACAATAATTTATATACTTAACTTATTTTTTTTTATAGCTCCAGAAGTTTTACAATCCGAACCATATTATAATCATGCCGTAGATTGGTGGTCTGCTGGAGTGCTCTTATTTCAAATGCTAACAAATCAGGTAAAATTGAAAATTTTTAAATTTTTAAAAGTATGAGCAATATATTTATAACAATATGAGGTATCTAATTGATTAAATGTAATGGTTTTTATTTTTTATAATTTTTAATATATAATATTTTTATTTGAATGGGTAGTGTATACACTTCAGAAATTTTTAACTAATATAGATTTGATAAACATTAATTGTTTAATTATCGTTTATATTGTACATTATTGCCGTCAATCTATATCACACTTGATTACTATTTTAACCAATACCAAGTAAAGCTAACGATCTCATTCATTATTCTATCCGATTGATAAATTCTCTCTGAACTAGAATAAAATTTACCATCACTAGTTGAATGAATTGCTAAAGCATTAGGCGGTAAGATAGAAAAAAAATGACCATAAAGCTGATCCCGCTGCCATCTCACGGCAGTCGGCAGCCCGCCGGCGATGCACGCACAAAATTCCTTTAAAAAAAAAAACGCGACGGCGACAGTCAAGAGAGGTGAATAACCAGTTCTGAACTTGAAGTCCAATTTCAAAACCGGTCCGTTTGACCTCCACCGTAGACGGCTGTTATCCCATGTTATTTTACAGCTATAATAAAATGTTCATTAAAACGCCTTACTCACTGATTTAACACACTTAGGTTAGTTTAACATAATTACGTTACATCAGCCATTCGCATGCTCCGCATATATATATATATATATTATATATTTTTTATACTCGTGCTGGACGAGTGTTTCACGCGTTCTTTATTTGACTGCCGAGAATAATACTGTATTAAAGTGTGATCCTGGGTAAAATATACAAAATACTAATTATTATTATTAATAATAATAACCGTCTTTCTTACGGTGTTTGAAAAATTAATATACTCATATAACGGTAACATTTATTATGAGTAGTGTGTGCTGTTTCTACTCACATAGCAGCAGTATAATATATAGTATTATTTTGATAGTAGGTACTTTTTATTTGTTCATATTTAACAAAGTAAAAAAATTGACAGCGCGGTGATCGATGTTTTAATGTCATAATGTTCGCAGTCCAATTTTTGAATATCGAGCAAGTTGTGTAAACTTTTTTTTTCCTTTTGTTATGCAACTATGATTGAAATCCATAGCCATTGACTAAATTATAAAGGCACAAAGTTCATAAATGTACAGTGAATGTTCACGAGTTCCGTTTGTTTTGTTTTAATTTTTCATATAACTCCGAATCGAGAATAATTTTTTTTAATTTAACATAATATAACCGTTTGGATTGTTTGAATGGTTTAGCATATTATTGTTTTTATTGTATCTACCCCCAATGGATTAAAACAATAAAAACTAATTTATTAACCAAGGTAGGTAATTTTTTTTTATCCATGTACAACCTGTGAAAGTTCGTCACATTTTCATTATTTATTTTATTATATTTATTATATTTTTTACTTTTGGTTATTATAACATAGACTATTGTTTTAATTGACAACCAGGATGCACCTAAATTGCCTATTCAAAACGCCTTCTTAAATCGTTTTTTAACTAATTATAATTTGTTGAATGTTTATTATATCGTTGATTATATATACTCAATTATATCACACGGTTACGCACACTTATAATTTATAAATATTATGTTAAGTATGTTTATCAGCTTATAAACATACACATATATGATATCATTGTCATTATTTTACATTTTGCTTTAATAATATAGAAGCAATTGAGTAATTCTATATCAATTAGGTATTATCTTAGCTGTTTGATTTTTTTATTTTGTAAAATCATTCATCAATAAAGGATTATAAAAATTATTATAAAAAAAAAACACAATTTTAAGAAATCGCGTATAATTTTCTATTGTTGATATATGACAATCTGTCATTGTATAATAAATTAGGTACATAATGTGTAAATAGTTAAATACTATTATTTAACAACCTAATAGCTAGATAGAAACTTAAAACTAACATAGTATTTATGTTTTTGTTCATTTAAATTATTATAAATAAGTTGCCTATAAATAAATTATTTATAAATTGATATCACACAGAAGAATGACTGAATAAATAGCAATTAATTTCACTACAAATTGTTTCCATTGTGAAAAATTGTTATGATTTAAATATATATAAAAAAATTTTTAATTAAGTCTAATTAGAAACGAACTTTATCGGTTCATGATTTTTTTTGGGAGGGAATGGCACTATAGACGTACATGATATTTTTTTTTATATTAAATTTGTATGACAAATTTTGTTGTTTATTTGTTCTGGACGTTATTCTGGTCCTTTTAGTAGTTGGTTCGTGTATATTGCTATTCAGTCTTGTCATTTTTGATTACCTAGTTGGCTTTCTTTTGTTTTTGTTTCTTCATAATTGAGTCAGTGGGCTTCTTTTCTTTGATAGCGTCCCGTTTGTTTACGGAGTGCTGTTCCTTCTTTTCGTCATTAGCAGATTCTGGTTTTTTTGGTTCTTCCGCTGCACTTTGTTCTGTTGGTTTTGGTGCTTCAGCTGGAGCTTCAGATTTTGGTTGTTCGGCTGGTTTTGCTACTTCGGCAGGTTTCTGTTCTTCAACTGGTTTTGGATTTTCTGCAGATGTCATAGCGGCTGATTTTTTGTTATCTTCGGTAGGTTTAGCTTCTGATTGAACAGCTGGTTCCGCGGAATTTGCTTCTTTGGCGGGTTCAACCTTCTTTTCAGCTTCAGGTGAAGCTACTGAATCAGCAACTGCAGGTGCAGCAGGTACTTCAGGTACTGCGGGTGATACTTTGGTTTCAGATATCTCACTGGCAGCCGGTACAGCATCTTCCACTGGTTTTGGGGCTTGTAGTTGAGCTGTTTTGGATGGTTCCTCAGCAGCTTTGTTTTCAGTTGACGGTGCAGATTCAGATGGTTTGACTTCTTCAGCAGCAGGAGCAGCAGCAGGAGCAGCAGCAGGTGCAGCAGCAGGTGCAGCAGCTGGATCGGCCTGTGCAGCTGCGGGGGTTGCTTGTTCAACTTGATTGGTCTCGATAGATTGTTGGGTGGCTTTTGCGTCTTGTGTTTCAGTTGGGTTAAGCGGTAGAGCTACAGGTACCTCGCTATTGGGTTTAGCTGCTTCTGGCTCAGCCTTTAAGTCACTAGCGGGTTTGGATTCTGGCTTAGCTTCTGGCTTAGCTTCAGCGATCAATTCAGTTTCAGATTTGACGTCAGTTACTGGTTTATTTTCACTTTCTGGTGCTGCGACGCTTTCTGGTTTAGCATCATTATTAACGGCTGGCGCAACCGCGTCATTCTCTGGCTTAGATTCAACAACAGCTGCGGATTTAGAATCGCTTTCTGGTTTTGACTCGCTGGCTTCAACAGGCTTTGCATCATTTTCTGGCTTTGACTCGGTTTCAGCCTTAACTTCGCTGACAGTTGGCTTAACTTCCGCATCTGCAGGTTTCGCATCACTTTCGGGTTTAGTTTCGCTCACCGGTGAAGCAGCATTAGTTTCTGGTTTAGCTTCTACTTGCTTTTGAGGTACTGCTTCAGCTGGAACTGCAGGTGATATTTCACCAACGGGCATGGATTGAGTGCTCCAGAAAAGAGCTCCGAACAGACATAGTCCCAAGATTACAGTTTTCATTCTGTAATAAATCGATTTCAATGTTTAACTTACAACATTTTACAAATAGCTTAGTCGATAAAAAAAAAAAATTATCATACTACCAATTATAAATTTAAAAATGTATTTTTATAATAATATATTATAATTTAACTACTTTAAATCAAGAGATTTATAATTTATTTAAAAACAATACTGATGGATCGTTTGTGTTAAGCTAATATTATGGAAAACCCCTCATCCTATTCTGTTGATATAAAAATATAATACCGAGCATCTTATGTAATAGTTTAAAAAACTTTGGTGTTATGAAAATAATCTATTTAACGACTTTCTTTTGGTTAGTAGTTTTTAAATTATGTGTAACTTTATTATCTTTATAGCAGTAGAATTATCATTTGTTAAAATTCTGATATTTTAAAAATTGACATTAAAAAAAAATCAATGGAATATTAATAATAAGAACAATGCTAAGTTATATTTAATCATAATTAATGATATTATTTTAAATTAGATTGAGGCTATTTTATTTCAATTGGTTTAGTATGCTGCATTTAAATTGAATTGTATTTTATTTTTAACTATAGATTTTTTTGTCATTAATAAAATATTTCAAGTATTTGAATTATTATACATACGTTTTTTTATTTGAAGTTTTATTTACGAAAATGTACCTACCCTGTATTTATTATATATATATATCCTCTTTTAGCACTTATTAAAGTAAAATATAAATATTAATTAAATTAATATTTATTTCGTATTTTAAGACTTCAAATTTAAAACAATTTATAAATATTTACTTTTTAAGTAATAAAAATGTAAAGTATGTTACATACTATGATTGAAATCTATGAACTTCTTAGAATATGTTCTAAGCAATGAATTTCAGTACAATTCAGTATATTGAATTATATTTATTGATTTTTATGTATTTCATATTTGTACATGATATTATCAAACTACTTTGTTATTTTTTTTTAACGTAGCTCCTACAGTTTAATTTACTTATTTTTCAGTAAAATATAAATTTCACTTCAACCAAAATTTTAATATTCTTTTTTTTTTTTAATATTAATCAAAGTTTTTTGCATCTTGATTATATTTATAAATTATTAAATTTAGTTGTTATTTTTTTTTTTTTTTTGTGGGGGAAGTTTAAATCCATTGCATTTTCATTATGTATCAAAACAAATTATATGTTATATACCATATATTTTTTAATACTTAAAATATTAATGAACGTTAAATATTATAATATAAATAAAGGTCAATTTTTCTATGTCTAACTTGATCACAAAACGAACAAGATGAAAGCATTAATTATTGTAATAAAGAATTGAAAAATCGATGGTTATGAAATAATTTTTTTTTCTTTTAAATTATTTTATAACTGGATATAGTAGGTAGATATAATATTTTATT